AGCTGCGCTAGGCCTAGGCGACTTACTCCTCGTTACCGAGTATCTCTAGAGAAAAGCTAATACTACCCCGGGGGTGTTATTAGTCCCGCTAGCTTTACTACTATAGATTTCTGCTAAGGACTCGAACTAACTAGTTACATTTCGAGTACGCGAGAATCTACGATAGCTAAAGGTTAATAAAGGCGCGTAGTCGCTACTAGCAATTAGCTAGATCGATTCTTAAACTTTAGCCTACCCTAATAACAAAGAAGTCTCGCATATAGCTTTACTTTTATATACAGCCGTTATCCGTTTGCTTTACTAGCGCGGAATATACGGACTACGTTACCTTCGTACTATATTTAAAGCGAGCCTCCTAAGCTCCTTCTTCTACTCGATTACTAACTAACTCGCTACTGCCTAACTACCCCCCCTTTCTATCTAAACCCTTTAGTTATTATTATTAAGTAACGAATACACTTATAAACTAGTTTATAACCTACTTCCGCTTCGGTCGACTATGTCTTCCGGCGCCCTAAATCCGCTAGGCGCTAGTAGTAGCAACGACCTACCTGCCTCTATTAACCTAAGCCTAGCTGCCCTAGTTCCGATCGAAGCCCTATCCGACAGCGCCTTAGCTACTATAACTAGCCTCGAGCACTGCTTCTAGATCGTTACTGCCCTTAAAGACTCTTAAGAGAAGATCTAGAACGCTCGCACCCTGCTACGCGTTATTAATAGGAATATTAAGAAGGCTGCTATCTTAGTTACGTACGGTATAAACAACTTGCGTTAGTCTATCGGTAAGCGTATCTTTAAGCGCGAGGTTCTTAACGATATAGATATCGAACAAGCCTTTCCTATCGTCTATAGCCTCGAGATAGCTAGTACCTAGATTCGCTTACGCTTTAAGACCCTCGACTAGGCCTTCGAATACTAGGGAGGACTAAGCAGTCTTCCTAAGAGCCTTATTAACTTCGCCTACAGTAGATAAGAGCGTACTAAGCAGGTCTCTTCGTTCGTTAATAAGTACAAGGTCCGTCGTTAAGGCGCTAAGTATCTTTCCTATACTATAATCTATCGCGTATCTACCGCTAGTAAGAAGGTAGGCAAGCAGCTACTTAACTTGTCCTTTGCGCTTAACGACTTTACGATAGCCTACTAGAAGAAGTACTACGATGCGATTGTCTAGGTCGATCTTAACGTATAAACAACTAAGGATCTACTAAAAGAGAAGGGCTATCGTATTAATAGTATAGGCTTTATTATTAAGGGTTAAGAGGCTTCTATCGTTAATGTCCTTAAACGTAAGGCTCTTCGCCTAGAAACCGAGGCCGATACGGCTACTAGTCTTGCGCTCGCTATAGAAATGTAGGCTAAAGATCGTCGCTCGACCCGTAACCGTAAGGTCCCTTAAGAAGTTTAAGACGAGCGCGCTAAGGCCGAAGTAGCGCGTAAGAAGGTATTATATACTCGCTAGGCCCTCCGTAAGGCTACTAAGAAGTATAGCACTCCTTCTAGTACCGACTATAGTACTAACTATAGTACTAACTATAGTAACTCGGATATTAATATACTAGATACACTACTAGAAGATGTCTCCTCTAAAGGCTCCTTTAGCGAGCGTAGAGATAGAGGCCTCTCGCCGATCCTATTAACTAAGAACATCTATAGTTCTTATAAGGGCGACTCTATTGCGTACCTTATTACTAATATCGATATAGTTCCTAAAGCCGATATAGGTAAAGCTCCTACCGCCCTATCTATCTATTAATAGCTCGACGACCTTAGCAAGCTAGGTAAAGAGCGGTTTACTATATATACTAACTATATTAAGAAGGCCGCTAAGGTCTATAGTCTCTATACTAGTGCTAAGGCGAGTGTCCTCGTTAGTCGCCTATTAAAGATTAGTCGCGAAGTTGCTAATTAGGATACCTTTACTACCCTTAAGACTAGTTATACTAACTAGTTTCCTAGACGTCCTACTACCGCCCCGACCTCCCTAGGACTCTACGTATTCAACCCTACTAGCACTATTACTTACGATCTTACGCTAACTAAGCGTCGGTATAAGTTAATTACTAGCATTCTCGGCTAAGGCACTTCCTTCGACCGTTTTCGTTAGACTAGTAATGCTATCTTCCCTCGAGTCTTCGGTTAGATATAGTCGCCTCGTAGAGCGTATCTTCCTCTTATCGTCGACCTAATATAGGAGGAGTTTCGTATATTCTTTTAGTATATACGTAAACTGCCTAAGTCTAAGTAGGAAGGCCGCAATGCCCTTTAAACCTATAGAGTAAGCAACTAAATCGTCCGTTAGCATCCCGCCTTATAGCTCTTAGCCGTTGCCCTTCGACCTAATTACGTATACAAGCTTATCTCCGTCCCTAAGCCTACTAAGTACTTTAAGGTAGGTAATAGCGGTTATAAGAACTGCCCTACTAAGGAGACTTCTCGTCTCGGACAAGATATAGTTAAGCTCGTAGCTAGTAAGGGTACTAGCTATCTGCGTATTAAGGTTTCTTTTATATCTAAAGATAAGACCGCCTATTTAACTATTATCGAGGGCATATACGAACTAGAGGTCTTCGAGAACTAGGTTAAGAAGCTTAATGCCTGTAGCCTAGTTCTACTAAACAAGATTAGTAAGCTTACTAATAAGTACCTTACTAACGACGACCTCGGCTATATATTCGATAGTTAGCCTAACGAAGGCGAGGTAGCTTAGTAGATCCTTAACCCTCTAAAGGAATACGAAGTCTCTATTTAGATGCTATACCTTCCGTATAGTAACCTAAAGCCCGAGAGCGACCGTATATTAATCGACCTAGGCTACTCTCGTATAATCGACGGTACTAAGATTAAGGGCTACAATAACTTAACCGTCGCTAAGGTTGCTAAGGCGTACCGCAATCTAACCGCCCTTCTAGGTTCTAACACCTTCGTACCGTTCGCCTTCCCTACCGCTATCTTAGTCGAAGGCCTTAGTTGCATTTCCGATACCCTAGTCGGCAGAATTCCTTAGTTAAGTTACGTTATTTAGAACGAAGTTAAACAAATCCTCTAGTTTAGTAAGAAGGAGCTTAAGGACTATCTACGCGAGTAGGAGAAGGCTATATAGGACAAGGCTGCTAATCTCCTCGTTAATTAGGCTTACTTCGAGGTAGAGTACTTTAGTGCTAATAGCTTTAATACCTACGGAGGAGTTTAGGACAGTCGACTAGCTAATAAGGTTATTGCTAGTAAGGATTACAGTGCATTAAAGCAGCAGTAAGTTAGCGTAGTAGATTGAATACTTAGGAAGTTGTTTTTACATATTAATAGAATCTAGGAATAATGCTACCCCGGGGATATTATTGCGGAGTCTCTAAAAAATAGCCTTAGCTAAGATGCCTAAGGTGCCCTATATAACTATTTGTTTGTTTTAAGCGCATATGTAAAGCGTGTCTAGTTAGATACGAAGAAAGGGAGGGATATTAGCTAGTAACCGGCCCTATATACCTAGGCTAAGTTTTAAGCCTATATAAGAGGCCTCCTTCTATATTATAGATAGAGCACTAACCTCGTATAGTATATTATTTATGTTACACTTCTATAATGCCTATATTGCAGGGCTCTAGTTATTAGCCTAAGCAACCGTCTTGTTATCCTATTATGCTAAACATAGCTGCCTATATTGCTATAGGTTATATTACCCTCGGTAGCCTATACTATTACTACTAGTAGTAGTAGTGTTGGTTTCTATCCTTTACTAGCTACTACCCTTAAAGGGTAGATCGAATACTATATAAGAAGGGTTATATTAGCAGGTAGATAGGGTAGTAGTGAATTAGTATAGTATTCGATAGAGATCTAGGAGGAGAGGGAGGAAGGTAGGAGAGTTAGCCTAACGCTAAGCGCTAAGCCCTGCCTAAGGCACTAAGACCCTAGCTTCACTTAGCCTAGTTATATGCTAATTACGTATAGCCTCTTTAGCCCTAACACTTAGCGTACTCGAAGGCGGCCTTAAGGCCCTTCTCGTAGGTATCGGCCGAGTTAAAATTCTCTCTAAACTTAGTCTTCTTCGTCGTTATCTTAGCAGTAATAATAACAAAGCGATTACCTATAAACAGCCCCTTCTTCTAAGCTTTATCGATAGCCTAGCGATAAGCATTATCGCTATAGCGAGTAGACTAGCTAGTACGATCCTCGTTAAACGAGAAGGTAAGAGTCTTACCTATAAAGAGGCGCTAGGTTTGCTTATATTAGAAGACGTTACGCTCGTCGCTAGACTTAGTTTCTATATCGTCTTTATCTATCTAAATACTATTAATCTTACGCTAGTATAGGCGTAGCGCTAACTGCTTTATAGGTAAAGCCTCGCCTATTCGCGTTAATTTACCTTCTTTAACTTATCTACTAATATTAACTTTTCTACTACCGTTAACTTATCTATTACCTTCTACTACCGTCGAAGCGTCCTTATTCTCTTTCTATTACTCTATATAGCGCCTCTAATCTTCGGTATTAACTTTAAAGGTAGGGCGCTTTATAAACTCTCGAAGCGCCTACGCTTTAGTCTTCGTCTTTGCTCTTAAGCTACCGCTTTTCTAAGGCGACTCGCGCCTTATAATAGCCTTCTTATAAGCTAGTAGCTCCTTATTAACTTGCTTCCTCGATCGCGTCGTACGCTAAACCGCGTCTTCGGCAGTTAACTTCTTGCCTCGCGGTATCTCGAAATACTACTTTAGGAGGTAGCTAGCGCTATAAAGAATAACTATACCTACTAGCTAAGGCGTTAGCTATATAACAATTATTATAGCGGTATAGAGCGGTATAAGGATACGATTTAAGGTCTCTACTAGCAGAAGAGGAGCATTCTACCTAGTAAATTACAAGGGAAGTTGCTAAGGCTCTGCTATTCTTGGCATTCTCACGTAACCCGAGAAACCCAGTAAGTAAGGCGTGGAGCTCTCCAGGCTGATACTGGACACGTCCACGTCCACGACTCGCACCGCTGACCACTGACCACTGACCACTGACCGCTCTGCCGTGCCGCATCACTCCGATACACTTCTCACGTGGAACTGAACTCTGGCCTTGCCACCTCCAGAGTTGCTCGAGGCGAACAAGAGGACGGTATCGACGCGTCGTTCACGCGTCGCCATGCCATGGCTTCATACTGCGACATCGATGCAATCCTCACAGACTCGCAAAAGGCTCCCTGCACCTTCGAGCTCACAGTGCCGCAGCTGGCGCCTCTCAACAATGCCTCTGCCATCGAGAGCGGGTCAAAGCTAGAGTTGCCAGTCTGGTTGGCGCGAATGCTCGCCGTGTCGAGGCCAGCAGGTCCATCAGCAGATGCCTTGGCATCGCTGGATATGCCCGCTGCTCTCAACCAGCACGTCCTTCATGCTCTCTCTGCAGAGCCCAAATCGGTTGACATCCGGGAGCGCGCAACCTACTTCTTCGGTCTGGCCGAGCGTATGCTAGAGCTGTTCGAGGACGAGGATCTGATTGCGACATTGCTTGATGTAGGGCGATGTCCTCAATCTTCGAACCTCTGACTGATCGAATTGCAGACCTTCAAGAAGCGTGCACTCCAGATCGCGGATAATGCACAGAATTCTCGTGCCCCAACCAAAGACGATCCCTTCATGCGAGGCTTAGACGAGTCAGAGCGGCTATGTAAGCACTCTCGATGATGCCTCTATATCTGGCTGATGATTTGTAGTATTTCGCTCTGTCAATGAAGGCAGACTTGCCGTTAAGAAATGGGAGAACGACACAAAGACCTGAGCGTGCAAATGCAGTCAAGCACTATCTGCCTATGGAACCTTCACCTTCACGCCTGCACTCGGCCATGCCTTTCGAGAGTGATGACCATCGCGCTTCGTGGCCTAGGTAAGCCACGTCCGCCCTCGCCCACTTTTATCGTGATGCGGTCGCCATGAAGCTGTCTACTAATTCTCAGTCAAAGTCCAGAGTCGCAAAGACAAAGCGTGTCATCAACGACAGACTTTGAACACAGTGACAAGCATCCTGCTGGGACTGGATTACAATCGGATGGCAATGAAAGTAGTGTAGTGGCATTGAATGCGCTACACACGATCTCATACTTCCAACACTCAGGGAATCAAAGGATTAGCCGCAGCACAGTGCCTAGCCTGTGTAGCCTTATAGCCAGCCGCTTCCGTAATTGGAAATGATTTGCGACACGCACGAGACTGGAGTACTGTATCTTACATGTAATTAACAAGTCGAGTATCCGAATCGCCGTATACCAAATAGTAGCATTCATGCCACGTCTGGACGGTGGTTTCGAGCCGATTGTTCATCCGGGTTGGCCTTAAAGATGCACGTTCTTGTTGCACCCGCATGTGACATGTAATGTACATTTTCCTCTTCACTTTTGAAAATTTTGCAAGTGGAAGACGATATACTAAGCGCACAAGGTGTACGATACGAGACGGATATGCAGCATGAGAAAAGTGTGCTCAATTGGCGTAAAGACGTACTTTCATCTGAGTACGCTCTAAATCATACGCTTCTTTAGCGCTTCATAGCCCATCCACGGCTTTCTCTAACGCCTCGGACGCCTGGCTAGTTGATGCATCATCGAGTCACTTTTTCCCTAACCCATCAGGCTGACCACATCTATTGCTGGTCCTCAACAACGGTGGTGTGGAGACCCTTGGGGTTCTTGACGTTGACGGCCTGGACGTAGGAGTAGAGCTTCTCCTTGGCGCCCTCCTCGTCGTTACGCTTACGGCTGATGCGGACACGGAGGCGGAATGGGACGCCCTTGATGCCAGACTCCCACACCTTCTTATTCAACTGTGGGTCGAGGCGGACGTCGGAGGTACCCTGGTGGCAATGTCAGTATGGAAGAGCATAACGGGGAAAGATATTGAGCCTACCATAGCCTTGGTCGCAAAGTCACGGATCTCCTTGATGGCACGTGGAGCACGCTTCTTGAAGGTAGCGCCGTGGACCTTATCCCATTGTCAATATGTATGCTCTTGGCTTCAGTCTTCCGCCCGATGCGCGATGCCATATCCCAGACACCGCACCATCCGTGGACTTCATCAAACTGAACGTACTCTCTTGTGCAGGTGGATGGTGTATTCGCGGGCGACGACATCCTCAATGGCGGAACGGCCACCGGTCTTGCCGGCTGCCTTCGGGCTCTTGGTCTTGCTCGACATCGTGCAGCGGAGGAGGGAGAGGGAGGAGCGATCGTTGGGTGGTGGAGATTTTCTGGTCGACGTCGTCGCTACAGCGCAAGCCTCAGAAGTTCGCGGCTGTCAGAATTGCTGTGCTTGCCAAGAACCGCGCTAACCACTTCCAGCCTGCCGGTCAACCGAACCCAGCAGCCACGCATGCGGAGGCTCTTCGGGCTCTTCCTTGCTGAAGGCGGATGATGCGCAAAAGAAACACCGAAAGTCACTTCGCACTTTCACTTGCCACTCCCGCCGTGTCTGCGGTAGGACACTGACATGCGCCGCGCGGTGATCCAGAACCTGCGCACATTTCGACGCCCATTGCCTCGTCAAGCGCTCAAGAAACCACGCATCAACGGCCCTCACAATGCCATCTTCCAGCGAACGATAGCCTCTCGGACTCCGCAGCCCCTACAGTCGTCGATGCGCTTGTCGAGGAGAGTGTCCATACCTGTGGCGCTGGGCGTCGGCGCGGCAGCTCTATACTACGGCTATGAACAGCGGACTGCACAGTCGACTTCACCCGCGTTTGCGCCAGATGTGTCGCCCGTCTCACAAGCTTTGAGCGGAGGCCAGGGTCGAAGCTACTCCACCGCGACCACACCCGTATCGCCGACTCATAATCCGTCTACTCTTCCCGCAGTGCCAGAGGCCGTACCAGAGTCTGTCAGAAAGGCGCTTATTGTTGAGCAGGGTCAGCTGTTCACGGCGCAAATTCCCGCAGACCAGCCTATCAGCAAAGAAACGGACTATTCTGGGCGGAAAGTGCTAGAGATGCTCACTCCGGAGCAGGCCTCTGCCAAGCTGAGGACGAATGAGGAGAGTTATCTCGTTGGCAGAGGGGAGGGCGTGGTACGGTACGATGTCGTGCAGATTCCCAGCAACGACCCGATCGAGGACGATCACATCGAGAAGATTGTCGAAGTACCCAGCACTACAGCAGCAGCGGGCGATGGTAAAATGAGCTCAGATTGGATGTTCTGGGGAGTCTTTGACGGTCATTCTGGTTGGACAACCTCCGCAAAGCTGCGACAAACACTCGTATCATACGTGGCACGGGAGCTGAACTCCACATACAAGACCGCATTACAAGACCCCAAAATTACTACGCCATCCGCCGATGCTGTCGATGCCGCTATCAAGACAGGCTTCACAAAGCTTGACCACGAGATCGTGCACGAATCAGTCGCAAAAGTTCTCAAGGCACAGTCAAAAGTGGTGGCCGCAGAAATGCTTGCGCCAGCTCTCTCTGGCTCTTGCGCTTTACTCTCGTTCTACGATTCTCGATCGAAGGAGCTTCGGGTAGCGTGTACTGGAGACAGTCGCGCAGTCCTGGGTCGAAGAGGTAGCAGTGGAAAATGGACAGCCACCGCGCTCTCCGTCGACCAAACAGGCGCTACGCCTTCGGAAGATGCACGTCTGCGAGCTGAACATCCTGGCGAGCCACATGTCACTATGAATGGACGCATCCTTGGCGGCCTTGAGCCAAGCAGAGCCTTCGGTGATGCCATCTACAAATGGAGTGCCGAGACTCAGGAGAAGATGAAGAGGAACTTCTTTGGTCGAAACGCCAGCAAGTACCTGAAAACACCACCTTACGTCACTGCTGAACCAGTTGTGACCCGAACACAAATTGAGCCCGCAAATGGTGACTTCTTGGTCATGGCCACAGATGGCTTGTGGGAAATGCTCACAAACGAAGAAGTTGTCGGCCTCGTAGGGCAGTGGCTCGAGACACAGGCTTCCGACTCCAAAGCCCGCTCCACTGGATGGCTTACCTCGTGGTTCAACAGCAGCCAGAAAGCCTCATCTTTGCCGATCGAACATCATGACCAGGGCGATGGCTCGGGCCAGAGAGCTCCCATCAGACAGCAGCAGTGGGGTGTACCGTCTGGCCAAGACCAGAGATTCGTCACCGAAGACAAGAACGCAGCTACGCATCTTGTCAGGAACGCGCTAGGCGGTAAGGACCAAGACATGTTGAGCGCATTGCTCACATTACCAAGCCCATACAGCAGAAGATACCGCGACGATCTGACCGTGCAAGTCATCTTCTTCGGCGAAGGACAAGGTGATGGCAGAGTAGAGCTCAACAAGGAAGCAAGTGCTACTGCTGCTCATGGGAACGGAGCAAAAGCCAAGCTCTGAGGTTTTTTTTCGCGAATAGAGTGGCTTCTCAACTCGACATTCCACGAGACAAATTTGAGACGGCGTTCGAGATGGTTGCATACAACATGAGTTATATACCCTTTCTCTCCTTGTTTTCTCTTCTCGCGCAAAGTAAAAGGCGCTGAGAGGCATCGCATAGCGAATGGCGTATCATCGTGTAGAGTATTCGGAAGAGAAGCATTCCCATCCACTTCCCAGAGAATAGAAGTGTCGGTATTCTTTTTCTTTCGACGTCAAGTTCGAGACTTTACGTTTGTGCTAACTACAGCTCGGCCTCGCTCCTCGTCCTTCGGCCTTTCGCCTCTCCGTCATCATTTTTTTGGGCAAGTTTCTTTGCCGATCACATACACAATTCGTTGATCCGTGAAGATGAAAAAGCCAAAAGGTTTCATATCGTACATTCAAATTTCAGCTCTCTCGCTGCGGGCACCTTTCTCTCATCAACCGGGGGCTCCCGAATTCGCGAGGGCGAGGGCCGCGGAAGGATTTGAGGTCAAGTATATATATACTTGAGAACATGTCCATCTCCTCAAGCATTAAAAAAAAACAATGTCTCCTCCCCTAATCCTTAAAAACGGAACCCTACTCACATTTGACGAGCAAGTGCAAAGAGTGAGAGTTCTTCGAAAAGCCTCGATCCTCATCGTCGGAGATGGAATTGCACAGATCGAGGAAAAGTTCGAGAACCTCAGTGTTCCCGAGGAAGTGGAGATTCTCGACGTGACCGGAAAAATTATCTCTCCCGGGTTCGTCAACACGCATGTCCACATGTGGATGACCGCGTATCGAAGCGTCGCACCCGACATCACGCTTTTGCACTACTTCGATTGGGTCAGTCAAACTTCCGAGACGGCGGTGCGAGCGTTTGGTCCCGAGGAGGTGTACATCAGTACGGTCGAGGGGTATTTGGAAGGGCTGAATGCCGGGGTGACGACGGTTGTGGATCACGCGCATTGCAATTTTGGGGCGGGACAGATGCGGAGAAGTTTTGAGGGGGCTGTTGATGGCGGGGCGAGGGTTTGGTGGTGTTATGAGGTGAGTGAACATGGGTTGTTTGGTAGGCGGGAGCAGTGGAGGAAATGGGGGGAGATGGAGGGGGAGGGGTTGGTGAGGTTTGGGTTGGCGTTTGATGCGGGTGAGGGCGGCGGGTCGACGATGGAGGAGGAGGAGGAGGAGGAGTATCGGAGGGCTGTGAGGGAGCGGAAGGTGGAGGTGTTCACGCTTCATCATCTTGGGGGGCCGTGGCCTTCGAAGGGGAGTTCGCCGCTGGATTTGGAGCGGAGGGGTGTGGTGGAGCTGGGGGTTCCGGTGATTTTGTCGCATGCTCCCTACCTTTCGGAGGACGAGCGGGAGTGGTTGCGGAAGAGGAATTTTCATGTTTCGATCACGCCGGAGTCGGAGTTTCATTATGGCCACGGACAGACGACGGGGCATGTCATCGCCGACCAGGCTTCGCTGGGCGTTGATACGAATTTCACGTTCTCGGGCGATGTGTTGACGCAAGCTCGTCTGTGGCTGCAACGAAGTCGAGATGTGAATTTCTCGAAGTTGCTGAGAGACACGGGATTGATTCCGCGGACGACGCCGATGACTGCTGAGCAAGGATTCCTGATGGCCACGCGCCAGGGCGGTCGCTCGTTGTGGAGGGATGATATTGGGGTGCTGAAGGTCGGCGCCAAGGCGGATGTCGTGGTCTTCAATGGCGACTCTCCGAATATGCTCGGCTGGTCGGACGCGATTGCGGCGGTGATGCTGCATGCCAATGTCGGTGATATTGAGCATGTGCTTGTTGGCGGAGAGTTTCGGAAGCGGGACTTCCAGCTGGTGAACACGGCTGTGGAGTGGGATGTTGTCAGGCAGAGCTTCTTGGAGACTGCCAAGAAGGTGCAGGCTCACGCTGTCCCGCCTGTGCCGATTCCGGATACGCTTTGGGGTTTGAAGGCGACTGGCGATGTTGATGTAGTGTCTACCATAGCATCGACATAGGTCAGACGACGGCAAGACGGGCCTCGCATCCGCCATCTTCGACCCCAGCGCTGCGACGGAGGGCTAGGTAATAATATAGATAATAAATATAGAGCTATAGATAGTACTATTAAAGGTAGCTCTACTATAGAAGGCAGCTCTACTATAGAAGGTAGTAGTAGTAGATTACGAAGTAGAAATAGCTTACTTAGTAAGGGCAAATCGTCTAGTAAGGACGATAGTAACGGCTACTAATACCCTAATATAGTAATACCTCGTCGTTACTATACTAATTACTTTTACTAGCGTCTACTAGTAAAAACAGTAGCAATTAACTAATTAGCGTTAATTATAGAAGGTCCGTATCTAAGAGACTATTAAATAGGTATTAGGTCCTCCCTAATCTTGTATAGTACGTTTTTCTTACTATCTTCGACCTAAGTAATAAAGCCGTTCTTATTAGGTAGATCGTAGACTAGTAAAGAATAGCCTTCGATAATAATACGAGGCCTATATATATCTAGAAAGTTAGTACTAGTTTTAGTTAAGGTAACTAATAGAGTTAGGGTTAGTAATACGGTCGTATAGAAGACTAGTTACCGTAATAGCCTGTCTTTAATATCTCGCTACTTAGAAATACGATAAGGTATTAATTTATCCTCTTTAGCGCTACGTTTAAACTAGTCGTTTATATAATCGTTTATTAACTTCTAGTTTAGTAATGCGTAGTTAGTTACCTACTATAGGAGGGCCTCGTATTACTAAGCGTCGTTTAGATTAGAAGCCTACGTATCGTAGAAGCGGAAGAAGACCTATATAACTACTTCTTATATAGAATAGAAGTATTCCTTTACTCGGCGCTTTCGTAATACTCCTAGAGTCTTATTAATATTAACGTAGGTCGCTACTAACTAGTTATCGTTATCGATAACGAGCCTAGTATTATACTACTCTAGGTATATAAGATTACTATTTAGACCTTTAAAGCGGCTATTATATAACTAATAACGTCGTAGCGTAAGAATACTCGTACTAGCAATATAGAAGCGCTAGATATACCTATAAGGTAGGCAATAGCTATACTAGAAGTAGTAGAAGCATTTAGTATATCTATCGTCGTATATAGTAGGTAGAGCTATCCGCTAAGTAGGCTTATTATTGTCTATATCTCTATAATACTATATAAGCTTATTAGCTATCTTCTTCTATACTAAGAGTAGTAGGTATTTAAAGGCCGGAGTATTATATTTCTGCTATACTAGTAGCTAATCGCAGGTAGCGACAATACCGTTTCGTCGTACACGCTCGCACACACAATCGTCGAGTTAGAATAGGTATATTCTAAGGCTTAGAAATACTTAGTTATTATTAGTAGAATATAGTTAAAGAAGCCGTTCTAAGGAATTCTAGCTATTCTAGAAAATACAGAAGAGGGCTTCTTTTATACAAATTTAGATAACACTATAAATAAGGGACGAATACGCACCTCGTAGGCTCTGTTTGCCTATCTAACGCTTATCTTGGTGCTTTAAGTATACGTAATAGCCCTCTAGTAAACTAGTTATTCTAACTGCTATTTAATAGGGGATCTCTAAGCTATATCCAAGTCGCCTATTAATCGCTCTCTAAAGCTATCTACTTTTTCTTTAAACAGTCTAATTTCTCGACCGCCTTTAGTATATTATAGTATTGGCTAGTAACCGGCCCTACACACCTAGGCTGAGTTTTGAGCCTATATAAGAGGCCTCCTTCTGTATTGTAGAGAGAGCACCAACCTCGTATAGTACATTGTTTATGTCACACTTCTATAATGCCTATGTTGCAGGGCTCTAGTCATCAACCTAAGCAACCGTCTTGTTATCCTATTATACTAAACATAGCTGCCTATATTGCTATAGGTCATGTTACCCTCGGTGGCCTATACTATTACTGCTAGTAGTGGTAGTAGTTTTGGTTTCCGTCCTTTATTAGAGCCGAAGGTAGGGCTATCTCTTTATATCTAACAGGTTCAGGTATATTAAAGGTAGTCTCTAGGCACGAATAGCTATAACCGAAGCGAGGGCACGATAAGAGCCTACGATACGGACGATACCGAAGTATCTCAAGGGGCTATTACGACAAGTAGAGAAACCTCTTAACGAGGGCATCGCTTTAACCCCGAAAAGCTACAAACCCTTAGGACTGTTACAGCTTAGGGCCTAGTCTATAGCTATAGCTAGCTTCTAAGGACTCGGCTCCGGGTCGAAGACCTATTTAGTACCGCTTGCTCGAGATAAGCCCCGCCTAAGGAGGAGATAGACTAATTACCTATCGGCCTTACTTAGTTTGCTAAGACCATCAATTAATGGCAAATACGGATTGTAGGTCGGATAGCCGGGGAGTCCCCTATTAATCGGGTAGGGCGTTCCTAGATTCGCAGCCTCGCTTAGACAGTGCTTAGCCTTCTACTAGAAAAAGAAGGCTACCGCCCCCCCGCCTAGCTAAAGGAGATACGAGCTAGTTTCTAGGATCTAGGTATAAATAGAGATTGCAGTCTCTCCCTCCGAGCGGCTTTTGTCTAAAATCTACTAAACTAAGCTCCTAGAGGTAGTTAGGCGACCCCTAGGAGGCTAAATCCTAATGCTACCCCGGGGGTAATACTAGGAGAAACCGCCTAATACACTACTCTCTCGCATAGCAACATCACAATAAACTAAACAAACTAAAGACACTAAAAATACATTTATATAGCATTCTATTTCAACTTTATATAGCATTCCATTTTAGCTATTTTAACCATTTTACGACAATCGAATGAGCTCTAGCGCTAGCGAAAACGAGCATTACGAATTAGTAGAATCTTCGGAATCCGAAAACGCCCCTAATCCTATTAACGAAGAAATTAGGCGGCGACTAGTTAATATAAGTAAGCCTCCTGCGCCCTCTACGCTAGAGGCGCTCTACAATATTATTATAAAGATAATAGAGAAGCAAACTGAACTTCTCCGTTAAAGTAAGCGTCGCCCGCTAGAACTAGGGAGCACTATAAACCCCTTGTTCGAAGGGTGGAACGCTATAGCACATATTAAGCGCTTTAAGGAAGGCTTAGTTAATTACGAGCTCGACAGAGAATCCGACTAGTATAAGATTCGGTCCTTTACGAGGACTACCTCCTCTAAGCTTTACCGAACCCTCAAAACCCTAGTTAGCTACCTAGAAAAGGACGACAAGTCTAATGCTAACTAGGAGACCTTTAAGGTAGCCTTTATAAGGGAGTATCGGGAGCGCGATAGCCGTCGCATTAAAGGCAGTCGTACGTAGCTCGAGACCCTCTACTTAGTAAGGCGTACCGAGGATAACGACCTAAAAGGGTATGTCCGCGAGTTTATCGAGTTAGCGGACGGCATCGAATAGAGTGACCTCGAAAACTCTTAGAGAACGAGGCTGCTCCTCTAGGGATTGCCGTAGCCTATGGCTTAGCGTATCTTCCGTCGCTATAAGCTTAGCGAGTCCGATCCTAAGAGTTTTAGGAAATACAAAGAGGTCCTAGTATATATCAAGGCCGACATTAATAGTATAGCCGATGCGAGGAAGTTTATCTACGGCGAAGACCGGAATGACCTAGCGCAGGTTAGGAAAGAAGCCTTAGGAAACAAGGGACCTAAGTTCCTTCCTAAATCGCAAAGTAGTCCTAAGACCGTAACTCCTACTATCACTAAGCACTCTTAGGATGTCGCGGACTTAGCTAAATCCCTAGCCTAGCTAAACCTAAATGCGAAAGCATTGCAGCGAGTTAGGGAGGTTATTAATGCTACTATACTAGGCGATGTACTACTAGTCTACTAGGTTTCAGATCCTAACTACCCTAAAGCCCCTTTAGTAGATGTCTACGCTATGCGGAAGATCTATTCTAACTTAGATAGCAAGTGCTAGATGTGTAGCGGGTTTAAATATGTCTAATCCTCCTACCCTATCTAGAAAGAGCTTCTTAAAAGGAAGCTTATTATGCAAGTAAATGGCCGATTCTACTATATAGACACCGGCGATAAGATTGATTTCGAATAGGATCGGAGAGCCCCGAAGCTGCCTTAGCTAAAGACCCTTCTAGAAAAGAAGTATAGCGGCAAGATCGAGTTTAAGGACACTAGGAACAGTACCCTCGCCGCTATTGCTAAACGAGAAACTTAGAAGGTTAGGGCAAAACAGGTTAAGGAGCGAAGTAGTAACAGAACCACTAAGCCTATTAAAGTCAACTTTGTTTCTTAGGATCCGGACGCAGTTACTAATGTTTACGCGGTTACTAAGAATAGTGTAGATGTCTACGCTGCTATACGGTCTTAGACCTAGTCCTAAAGTAAGGGCAAGAGCCCTTAGAACCCTACTCGCCCTAGTGCGGCAGCCCCTACTAGGGTACTAAAGAACAAGGCGGCCGATAAGGCTAAGTAATAGCGAGAGTTAACCGCTAAAACTAAGACTCTCTAGATAGCTATAGACCGCGCTGCCCGATCTAGCACCGCACCTAGTACCGCCCCTAGTACCCTACCTATAGAAAGCCTAGTCGTCCTAGAGACTCTAGAGGTCGATATAGAGGATGTTACTACCGACATTAGTAGTACCCTAGGCCTAGCTAACCTACCTGCCTATAAACGGAAGTTATCCGACCTAAAGAGCTTTCGCTTTAATAGGTACATAAAAAAGTATAGTACTAGCCTAGCTAACTCCTTAGATATAAAGGCAAACGCTCTCTTCTAGGCTTTATAGTTTCTAGACCTTAAGTCTAACGTGTTTATAGGTAAGCTGCTAGCATACGGTTTGCCTACTAACCTATTCTAGAGCCGAATCCCTAACGATGCTACCTTTATAAAAGACCTCGCTGCCCTCCGACGAAAATAGGGACGAGAAGACTATATCGACGTCTCTTCCCTATAGTTCCTTCCTAAATTTTCAGGTGCCTAAGAGTTAGTAGAAGGCGAATCGGTAACCTACGAGGACTAAGAGACTATCGATAATACTAACGAAGAGGGAGTTGAGGAGATAGGCCG